GATATGACGTATTGCTTTATGAACATTTAGAGGACAGCAGATTCTTATTGATAGGCCCAATCTTTTGATCCACATGTCATCAGTAAAACCATTTCCCAGTTTCGTTGAACCTCTCCTCTAAATTCAACTGAAACTAACCTGAAACTTAAAAATTTGATCAAAAACCCTTCGAAATAGATAACTTTGGGTTTCTGCTTGGAATTGCCTTGCCACTCTTTACACAATCCACTTTTAATTATCCTCAACATTCTCTCCAGTTATCTATTCCATTTCTTCTCCAAATTCCCATTCAAATTTCCTGTAGAGTTATCTTCGGATGTATATTGAAGCACCTCCTCCTCTGAAGTTCGTTAAAACTCTCTTCAGCATTGTGATGCAACGCTCTCTTGAAATTTATTAGGATCAAATTACCTTGGAATTTTCCTTGTTATTTCTTAGGGATTCTCATAGTTTTGTTGGAAATATTCTCAGCATTCTTTTCAGAAATCTCTTTAAGTTGTTCTGATATTGTTTTTGGGATTCTTCTCAAATATTCATTTGAATTCTCCATAAAACTCAGACAGGATTCTCCTCACAATCCACAGTAGTCCAGGTTGGGAACTAAGCAAAGCTTGTGTTTTCCAATAACTTTTTTTTTTAAATATACTTCTTTTGGCCGATTTTTAAATTAAGGTTGTCCTCAAATTAATTGATAATCAAAAACTAACTGCCTTATTTTTGAAAATAAAGATACATATGCTCTGTAGTAGCTCAGTTTGTTTTTCCTTGATTTGTTTTCCGTCTATCTTGTTTTCCGTGCTGAGCACCAATGCTACCGACGCCAGGGAGGCAGCATCTACACCTGGACCCTACTTATCGACTCATCAACTTATGAACCGGGGACCAATGGCTTTACTTCCTTTGATCACAGATTTTGTGCCTCAGAAAATCCCGACGGCGCTGACTGGGATTGAACGAAAGCCCTTTGGAGTGATAATCGGTCACGCTTACCACTACACCACCGGCGCCGCTGTTGTAGCTCAGTTGATATCAAACTACTTTGTTGACATGTTTCTATTTCTTAAGGAGCTCATTTTAGACCATTTAACCTGCATGGACTTTTTTTTGGCTTTACCATTTTTAATTTATATTTCTTGTGAAAGTTGCTATCAGAAGATTCTACGCGCTTAATAGTGTACACATTTTTGTTGAATAAAGAAAATTTATATCTAGTAATGGTATCGACCGGAGGTTTATGTTGACGTTATATTTATTTAGGACTGAGAAAGCCGTTAACACGTACATTTATATCTCGTTGCAAATACCACCATTTTTCTATGGTCTATAATTAGCAAGACAAATGTTCAAGTTCTTTTGTCTGAAGGTGAACATTTATTGAATAACAACTCTTTTTGTCGTACGATGTCTGTGATTTACACATGGGGTACACTTTGTGAAAACCGAAAATGGAACATGTAACAAAATTATGAAAGCTTTTGAACATTAATAATTCAGTTGCCCTTGGACCAATTTCAATAATATTATCACCAATCGATCAGAAATATTTCTACGTATCAATAACAATGCTTCCGTTTAATAATTTTCTTCAAGAAACTATGGAAAAAGTGATAATGTCCAATGTACAAATAAAAAGTGATAATTTAATCACTTTTTTCATGAGATAAACGTTTTCCCTAACCCAGTCGTCATAATCGAGGACCACTTGGTTGCACATCATTATGCTTTAACCTGAAGAGATATAAAAGAGCGCTGCTGTCTAGCCCTAGCCTCAACTCATTTTCGCTTTGGACGGCGTGATGAGCAGGCAGCTAAGGTAGTGGGAGGTTATGTAGTCCACTCTTCTACCCAACAAGGTGTACTGAAGGTGTTCCTGGAAAATGTTATCCGTGATGATGTCACCTACTCTGAATACGCCAAGCGTAAGAGGCCATGGATGTCGTCTACGATTTGAAGCGACAGACGCCCTCTGTACGGTTTCGGAGGTTAAATCATCACCATCTTTGGCAACAAAACGGCCCTTTTCAGGGTCAACAAGCTTATTACAGTCAAGAGTTGAAATAGAATTTATCTGTGACTGTTTTTCATATTCAGAGCCCCCAACGACCTCACAAAATGCTCTCCAGAGTTGAAATCTTGTAACCAAACTTGGAAGCAGGGGTGCAAGTGATTTTGACCGATTTTCTTCATCTTTCGTTAATAATTCGTTAATTGCCCTTTGCTTTCAAGGTTTTGACATTGGCAAACTACGCAAAAGGAGAGTGTCGCTACTTGATAGCAAACTACTCATGATGGGAGGAGTCTGTGTAGCTCACCGGCGTATGCAAAAAGAAAAGCAATCAAAATTTCATTTTGCGATTGTTTCCCAAACACAGACATCATATTGAAACACCATCGTGATTATGCAGTGTAGCATTCTCTGTAAATTATAATTATTACAGCAAGTGCTTCAGTGTTTACACTCCGCGTTGGATAGAGTCAATATTCGAAGTGAAACAAGTGATTATTGAGAAATTCTGTAAAAATCTTCAAATGTCTAAACACGTGACTGCTAAAAATCTCCGCGATTATCGGAAGCGCGTGAGAGACCAGAAGCCAGGGAAACCAGCAAAACAGACGCGGACCGTTGCTGAACGCGGTCGAGTGTGTCGAGCTAACAAGAAAGCGGCCAAAAATAAGCCTAATTTTAGGATTTATTCAATAACCGCCCAATTTCAAAAATATGAATTATGAAGTGTTCATTTTTGAGTTAAGTTTCTAAACCATTTATTTTGTTATTAATATATTAGTGAATGGAGCATCAAAAACAATCTCGTAGTTCTACGTCAACAATGCGGTCGTGCTTTGGACACAACACTTAACTTTTTTTTCTCAAATTAGGGTGGACCTTAAACTAATTAATATACCATAAACAAATCTCAATTTTGAGTATAGAAGCAAAATTGTGATGTGAATGTTGTAGCTGAGATGATTTTAGGCAACTTTGTTGAATAATCATTTGTTGTATCTCTTAACATTCTCATTTTTGAGCGTCTAAATATTAAGACAAAAGAGCAGTTGCAACTTATCTGACGAGTCGATCTCTCTGAACTCCATGCAACTTCGCATATTTGTTTACTAGTGGCAATGAACTCAGTTTGGGCAGGATCGACCATTTTGAATCAAGCCTAATTCTTCAAAATGCCGTATTCAATATGTGAGCCGTTTCGTGCTATGATTTATTGAAAAACATTCAATATGCCATTTAGAACCTAAACTTCTTCTTATAATTCCTTTAGAACTTTTCTCAGAATTACCTTAAAATTCTACTCCAGCCTCGCTTGAAAACCACATCAATACTTTTTAAGAATACCCATGATTCCATTAAATTAAATTTAAATACTCCTTTCAAATTTTCATAAAAATTTGCCCAACAAATTTTCGAAGCAGCAGAGCCCCGATTGTTTTCCAATTCCAAAAGCCTCCAAAATTTACCAAAGCAAAGATTCACCGATTTTTCTTCAAATCTTAAACCATGGAAAATTGTCATGGTAAAATATGCTTATATTTTTCTTATTCCCGACAATTACAGCTCAAGTTTTAAATCCATTTCACCCATGCAGCCCAATCGTATATCTGTTAATCCAGAACACTTTGATTGCTTGCAACCGTTGAATCTCACTCAAATTCGAGTTCCATTTACTCAAATTCACAAAAACTACGGTCACGCCTCGATTTTCGTCATACTTGAGCATAGATTTCTGCTTGTATAAGTGAAATTGTAAATTCGGAAATTTTACTCAGTCTATGAGCAACAGTGGTTTTTGCGAATTTGAGAAAACGGAACGCAAATTTGAGCGTGTACATTTCATAAATTTATCTTTTTAGTCGATATTGTCAATCGAATGCGTTGAGAGCAGACGTAATATTCGTTTGGAACTGAATGTAAGTTCGATGCATGAAAATAGTTTTGATTTACAGTATGGCACATCCCATTTCCAAGGTACGAACATTCTTTGTTTGCTCGAAAGATAGAATCAAGCGATTCGAATGAGAATTCCGCAACTGAGAACTCATTTGTGACCTCATCGAGGTAGCTGTGCATCTCCTTGTAAGTAATTGCATCAGCCACCTATCGACAACCTAGTGAATTCCTCGACTGAAGCTTGAATTGAACGGTGCAAGTGTAATCATCAAGTAGCGCAATATAAGCAGTCGGCGGTGGCGGTTACTACGGGTAACTAATGTAGCTGGGCCGCAACCGCTTATGACGATGATTATTATGGATGTAGCTGCACACGCATATGCCCTAGCTTGCTTCAATTATAACGAAGCCTGACTGTTATGTGTAAATCAATTTCCCATCTTTATCGATGTTTGCCGGAATCGAGCTGGTGCTCTACAACACGGGTGACTATCGTATCAAATTAACAGACACTTTGCCGGCAGTAACATGTAGCGTTGGCGTGATCTTTCAATCACATTAATGCTTTTATTTTCGTGTAAAATTGGGATTGGTCCGTCACCCGGTGTGGTCTATTTTCGTTCGACCAGGATCATAAATCATCTGTTCCGCATAAATTACTCACGGACGCGTATGATATTTCTTTTTGGCTGACATAATGCATTCATTCCTCAACTTCCCTCTATAATGTCAACTCAATGGGATGACTGTCGACGCGAGGTTGTTGTTATTGGTCTGTGACATTCGAAGTCAAGCGGATTGCATTGTTGATAGGTCGTAAATTTTATGCTTCGTGCGTAGTAGGCTTGGAATTTTCGGCTACCTACGCCTACTAGATCGATCGGGTCAATGATAGAGTCAAATTCAATTTGGGTGGCCATTTGATGATGATGATGATGATGATGATCGTAGCGTGGTGATTTATCACGCTGAAACGGGAATCAATCAACTCGCTTCGTGAATATGATCTTGATGACGGTGGAATTTATTATCTCTAGCAACTGTTGTGCAAGTGCCAAGTGTTTGATTAATCTTATTTATTTATTTTTTTCCGTTTCAGCCTCACACTGCGACTGAATTTGAACAGAACTTGGTAAATGTATCGCAAAAGTTGCAGAATATGACGACTTCAACGGATCAAAAGGTATACCATTTCCTAAATTTACTAATAAAGCAAAATGCTTATCAGATTGTTAAATTCGACAGGACAGTGAAATTCAAGAGATGAGGAACACGATCGAGCTTCTCCGACAACAGTCGGCTGGCATAGCTGCCACTCAATTACTAGCGTTAACTACATCGCATGGAACGACGGCTACTGGCACTGCTGTAGGTTTTACCGTAACCAGCAACCAAGATAAAAGATAATAACCGATTTCTCTATTCAACAGTGCACATCCCAAGCGGTTCCACTGCCTCTACACAGCGAGATGAAACGCCACCACAGTACGGATTCGATGTACTCGGTGAGCTCAACCAGCACCAGCTGTTCTAATCAGGACAAACAACACAAGAAAAAGAGTGGCTTCCGGCATTCACTGCAGCGGGCGTTCTCCCGCAATCAGAAAGGTTCCAAAGCGAGTCGACCCATCAGTCAGAACTCCAACCCGGACCCAGATTTCATGCTGATGAACTATCCAAGTCGCGAAGACGTCTGCATCAGCCCCCTTCAGTATGTTCCACCACTGTCTCCGACCAAAACCAGTCCACCGAACTCGGCCAGTCCTATTCATAATGGTAAGACATCCAATCTAATATCAATTTAGCTATGGTTCTAAATACAATTCCATTCCATTCTAGGCGACCAGCATGTAACTTACGATCGGGACGGTAACCCTGTAGTCACCCAACTAGTTCAGAAGCTTCGCGAGAAGGATCTCGTCCTGACCGATATTCGTTTGGAAGCCCTCACGACTGCCTCCCAGGTGGAGAGCCTCAAGGAAACGGTCATGAAGATGCGCCAGGAGATGGTGTCCCTGAAGCATAACAACGATCGCCTGCAGCACATGGTTTCGCGGAGATCGATGACGGGCAGTGAACTTTCCTTTGGATCCACAAGTCCCACCAATTCCGTTGGAGAATCACGTCGGTACAGTGCTGCCGTAGATTACCTCAGTGGACGTCCCATGCTTGATCTTCCTTTGGACCTCGACGAAGGTGAAGAAGACAACATCCCACCAGCTCCGGCTCCGGAGCCACCGCCAGAACCACTCAGTCCTGCCTTCATTGCCGATATGTCCCCGACGATCGAGCGGGCTATGATTCCGGACTCGGAAATCATCTCCATCGCTAGTGAATCCATGATTGATCACATCGATGGAAAGAAGATTGCCATCGCGGTCTACCTAGGGCAGATGGACTTGTTTGCCAAGTATTTGGAGGATATAAACGAAAATGGTCATCAGGAGAATGGGAAAATCAGACAGAATGAGTTCACGATTGCGTTCACTTTCGTTTCTGGGAAGACCAGTTGGCAAAGCTTGGACTACATAGTCCATCGGAGCTTCAAAGATTTCCTGGAACGTGTCGATCCATCCGGAAATCTCAGACTCAGCACGGAATCGATCGCTAGCTATCACATTGGAGATGCTAAGCGGGCGTACGACGTGCGACTTCCGGAGCTGATGCCTTATGGGTACATCGTAGGAAATGTCGATACGTTGTACATTTGCCTTCGAGGTGTCAGCAATATAGCGTTAGATAATCTCATCATCAAGAACATGGTGCTACGATACAAGTCGTCGGCTGTCGTTGATCCCAAGCGAATGGCAGCCCGAGGGTCAATGGAGTCGATTGCGAACTAGAGAATCAAAACAATGATAGAATTAGGAAATGTTTAGCCTCTAGCAGTCGCCGTTTACAGTGACCAAGAGAAAAAACAATGTGAATATTTTCCATTTAATTCAACTTAGTAATTTGTGGGACTGCACATTGCAGTCGAAATACGTATCTGTCATGGATACAAATTACGAAGTGGAATCAAATGGAAAACAATCACCTTTTTTCGCTCTTGTGAGTATTTCACTAAAATCTAAATTCGTAACTTTCATAGTGACCAAGTTCAACACAAGTTGCAATAGTTAATTGACCGATCTAGCCAACCCATATTTGTTCATAATAGTTGAGGATCGCAGGCGATCCAGATCCGATAAAACTACATACTCAACTCCACACGCGAGAGGCATCAAACGTTTGATATTAAGCAATAATTGTATCTTCGATTGACTGAAGACTGAATTGAAATCGAACTTCTTACGGTAGCTATTAGCTTAGATATTTAAACCCGATTTTGCGATAATGAAACTAGGAGCTTATTTTCGTGCGCGTTGTGTTAACATTACTATCGATATCACTAACTAACTAGATATTTCTTTTTTTTTTCTTTACGGTTACTGTGTATTCTTGAGCAAATGTAATTCACGTTCTAGTTGAAATTGACTGCGTTTTAGTCATCGAAGCCATGAATGTTTGTGCTAAAATAAAGGTAGCTATAGTCTGAGTAGGCGAGGAGTTTTTTTTTTGCGAAAGAAATATGCCATTTTTGTGAATTGCAGAGTGATTTGAAACATACCTACTATCATATAATCTAATAATTCAACACTCACGAATTTTAATTTTGAAACACCGTAGAAGCGGTAAATGCCAGCTTCTTCAATTTTGCTGTTGGTTTCTGGAATGTTGGCCAACCAGGGTCATCCCACTCTGAACTTTGTATTGTGCAGCATACCCTGCTAGATATTTTTTTTAAGTATTTGTAAGTATTTTTAGGTATCTTAGATATCACTGAGAACTTTTTTGGTATACGGGGGAAAATACAAAGTTTAGAGTGGGATGCCCCTAGAGCATACCTATAGATACCTGAAAATATTTAAAAATACTTTAGAAATACCGATAGTTTGTTTGATGGGTTGCTAGGAAAATTTCTTTTGTTTATTTTTCCGACGTCAAGGATTTTGCGTGGATTTTTATAAACTTCACACGATATTAACATTAATTCTATTAATAGAATTAACAGTTTCAACTGCACGCCACTAGCCGTATCCAGTGTGACTCGTTGATGCAGTCCTTGAAGGAAGCATGGACATGAGCCGCTAGGAGAAACCATTTTCGAGAATTCTGATCTAGAGGAAGACGGATCAGAAAATTGCATCCTTGGTGAAATTATTTTTTTGCATTCTGGATCACTAAAACATCGATTTTTTTTTTCGCAAGTAGCGTTGAAATACTAACTCTTTACAATGAATCCATATTTAATTTTAAGTAAATTTATTTTTGATACTATCAAATCTAAAATCATCTATCTGATGGAGCAATAACAAACACATCACTAGCAACCGACCATAAAATTAAGATTACTACGATGAAAATTAAGCTAAGATTTACAATACCTAAAAATACTTACGAGATATTTAAAATATTAAATGAATATCGGAACTAAAGTTTAGAGAGGGATGCCCCTAATTGGCCTACATACATTTGTATTTTAGTGGATTCTTTAGGGGTATTGAGCTAATTTCATATTCGCAATCTATATCAAATGGAACCGAAATCCAGAATTTCATCAATTGGTGCACTGGAACTATTTTAAATAAATGCGATTACATTGGGAAAAAAAAATACCATTTTAGCACCCCTAGGTCGAAGCGAGCTGTCAATCTGTAAGTTTTGTGTCAAACAGTGAAGTTATTATTTTGCGTTAAATCATGATTTAAAAATCGAGATGAACGTCTATGGATTCGAAAAAATATCGTTGTAATCAGAAAACGAAGCTCTAACAGATGGAGTATAAAAACCGATAACTTTTTCAAAATTAAAGAACCCAATTACACCATATCAGCATCAGTTTTCAAGAACAGACTGAAGTTAGGATTGCTAGAAGCCTTATTGGGTCTGGAGTGTTCCAGTCTATAATTTTAAATTCGCTTCCTGGTGTTTCTTTTCCGGTTGTTCTGCTCAGTAAGCCAAAACGGTCACTCTTAGGCTGCCGAGCCCCTCATACCACATCACACCACTTATGATCGAGTTGTTTTAGTCATTGAAACCCGGTACCGACGAAAACGACGACAATTTCCACAAAACACGGTGAGAAAGCATTGGGACTATGAAACTCTTTAATAAGATGGGGCCTGGGTTAGATCCCACGATGTTCTGCTCAGTAAGCAAAAATGGCTGTAAAGGCTGAATAAAAGTAAATTTGTACGCACAAAAAGACCTGTAATTCGTGATTCAATAAGTTTAAAAAGTCCATCATCGATCAAACTTGCACCAGTTGTTCTCTATAGAAGTGTAAACAAACCACTGTAAAAGATTTTCGATTCCCAACACTAGAGGCATGCCAATGAGGTGGATTACCGAGGTGAAGCAATCGCTTAAGCTGTGTGAGTAAAACCCCTGTATGATACAAGCAATGAATGACGTCACTAATTGCGTTCACCTCTCTCTGTAGCTCATTGGAGGCGTGCTAGCGGTGCGCGAGGGGTGCATCTTTATGAGGAAGCCGAGCCCTTCATATCACAACACACCGCTTATTATGGAGTTAATGCTACGCAGCAAAAACTTTTTAAATTTGCATTTGGAACATGATTGTTTTTTCTGGCCTTAATTCAAACAAAAAGGTATTATATTCGCATGAAAGTATTTGCTTTTAAATTTACATGCAAGTATGTTTTACAAAGGGGAAATGTCTCTAATGTTGGCCTATGGTTCTAAGATTGGGCCCATCACTAAAAATCTGCTATTTATCAATTTTATCTAGATGAACGCGTTATTGGGACGGTACTTATGGATATTTTTGGTCGCAATTGAAAATTTAATCGATTTCTTAGTTTATGTATGGGGCCAAATTAGGGGCATTTAGGCCGACATTACATCCATTTCCCCTAGATGTCAAAAGTTCAATAACGAACAACGATACAAAATTTACATGGACAGTATTCACTCGGCTGTCGACAGAAGCAGGCCACTCTCGATGTGTATCACGCGATCGTCTGTTTACTCTGCAGCAACCATTGTGTGGTCCTCATCATTGTTCTTCATCGGCAGTTCTTTCGGTCGATGCGTTAGTTTCGTGAGTGCTGACAACGATTTGCGTCAGTTGCTGCAATTGAAGCGCTTTGCCCCGCGTTAGCGATACTGCCATACAATGAAACCACTGATAGAGGCACCCGTTCGGATGGAGGAGGCTCATTGTATAGCGAACGATAGAGTATCCATTGTGTTGTCCATTTTGACTATAGTTTTAAAATGTTTTGAAGATTCCTCAAATATGTAAAGTTAATTCAATTGAGCCTTATCAAATAAATTAATAAACAACAAATTTACATTGTAACCGTTTGTTACAAGATTTGTATGATTTTTAATGTGTGCATAATTGTTTAATGCACTGTCACGTTTTATAAGTTATTTGGTGTTGGTTAGTAGGATATTAAAAGATTATGTATTACAATATTGTCAATTTGTTAGTAGAGAATTGTTTAAACTTTAAATTGTATAACAGTTTAGTGGGGATAGGTTGCAGTACAGTGGGTGCAACTACTACAAGGAGATGCAGGCAGGATTTTTTTTAATTGGGATATAGGATGTGAGGATTGCCCCGTAACGTAGGTAGATCACCTTTTCGTGGTACGTTACGGGATGTAAAATCTACCACCGATTCCTAGTCATGACTACTTCAAACTAGGGGAATATGATTTTTCAGTAATCCAAGGAACACATCTTAGTCCTTGTTACTTTTTATGCCTTGTTGATAGTGATAAGTCCTCGGGTTGCCTGTACCGAGGATGATCTTGAAACAAGGAAAAAATGAGGTAGTTAGTCTTCATCCATGTGATTCCTAACCTTCTATTCGTTGTTCTCTAGTTTGAAGTGGTTAAGGCTAGGGTTCGGTGTCATTCCTTAATTTTGTTGCTAAGGAATCCAATTTTGACTGACAAAGGGGCGTGCCTTTGGAGGGTGTTTCAACACTCCGAAGGGTATAAATAGCGGAACCTTTCAATTAGAATCGGATCCTTGCGATAAATGCAAAAATGACAACTGTAAAAAAAAATCGAATACATCATCATTTCTCAATAGACATGCACTAAACTAAGGACACGGGATATACTACAACACATCAAATTACTGGTCGCAGTGGTGTTAGGTCCCGAACCGAGGAAAAAAATGTAGGGATGGAAAAGTGAAGGGACAGAGATCAGATAGCCCACGAACGACCCGCCATTTCTGATAACTATCCAGGCGTTCACGTGTGGAAGGTGTTGAACAGTTAAAGTGCTTGAAATAGCCACTAGCCAGTAGTGAGTGGAAATATTCGAGTGTGACAATTTGGTGCACCTCAGCTCAATTCAGGACCTTTTATATTACCGTTTAGTACACACCGCCATTTTGTCCGTTGACAAGATCAACCGACGCGCACGTGATCTGACTTAGCAGTCTCTAGGGGCCGCTAGGTCTAAAAGCAAAGGAACTAGCCTTCCTCAAGCCAGACCAAAAATAATCGGCTGGATGGAATTGGTCTCGGGAACCCTCCTTAACCGTCAAGGATACATTCCCCTCTCGGTAGAGTCACTCCGGCCTTGCCTGGGCTCTGCCGATGTAAGTCTATGAGGGAAGACGCTTGGGAGGACCTATAGTAGCCAACGAAACCGCTTCCTCACACCGCCACTCAGCCAACTTTGGCCATTCGTAGCACAGTGTGTCCAGCGAGCGCTCGCCCAACGTCGCCGAAGCCGTCCATCTGCAGCATCAGTCATCATCATCAGCATTACCGGTACGGGTTTCAAGAATAAACCACCCACTTTACACCCACACCCACAATAGTAGTAGTATAAGCCAACCCTCTTAAACAATAGTTGTCCTCCATAAAATGTTTCCATCTTGAACTACAATTGTACATAAATGCATTTTTTCCATAACGTTATTCAGGTGACAGTATTCTGCACGTTTGGTCGCGTAGCCCCTCCGATTTCCCAGTAGTAAGCCGACCTTGAGACCCAGCTCGAGAGGTCTCTTCTTATTGAGATTGCTGTTGTTAATTTAATTTCAGATAGGTAAAATGACGGCTTCGGCATGACAGACTATTTTCGGCAACCTAAATTGAAATGCTAATTTCACTGGATTTTCTTACGCAAACACTTCGATGAATGCATTCAAGCGATTCTTTAGGTTTTCAGCTTCAATTTGATTATATTTTTATTTTTTTAGGTCCCTTAATTATGTCACGCAAATTTGGCCCTTTTTCGACAACCCCCCCTCCCCTTCCCTCTTGGTTACATTTTTTGTATGGACCTTATTTTTTTTTGAATGGCTCGTCACAGTTTCCAAATTTTATGTTATACTAAGGCAATGAAAGCAAACCCGCAACAACATATTTTTGAAGAGCAAATGTACAGCAAAATGAAATCAAAATTGTCAATTGCGTAAACTGAGATCAAATTATGATTTCAGCTTGATGTTAATATCAAAATTTGATTTCAATTTGCTGTCATTTTGATGCTGGACTTTGCT